TAAATGTGAAGCGGTTATCCAGGGAAAACCAGCCTTGGCCATCTGAGACACTCAGACCTGTGCTGCCAGGCTGCTTGTCCATTTTGGAGAACTTGTTCTATCCCAACAAAGAAGAAACTTTTGAAATCTGTGCTGCATAGAGTCACTTACAGCAGTGTCCTTTAGGAGTTTATGCTGTGGGTGACACTTGGGAAGGGGAAATACTTGAACCAGTATTTTTTTAAGCACTGTGAAAGCAGCTGAAGGCAGTGCCTGCTCCAGGGAATTCCTGCAGGAGGGGCAGGCAGAGCTGTGTGCGGGAGGAAGGGGAGGGATGGGTGCATTTGCTCCTGATCAGACACATGGGATGGTGGCAGAGCCAGGAGTGCAGTCCAGCTCGTTCTCTTACTCACAGAATGCTTCTGGTGTTACACTGAAGTTGGCCAGGAGAACTTTAGTGAGCAGTGTACAGTGACTGTGCCTCAGAGATATCCTGCTCAGAACAGCGTGCTGTCCTCGTGACACTGCAGCCTGGAGCTGGATAACGTGGGGCACACAGTTTCTCTATAGTTTCTTTTATATAATTTGTGATTTTTCATTTATAAATAGATGCTAAGCCCTTCTTGCCTTTCAGTGTGCTTTTTGGAACAGATTCTGACACCTTCATTGCCTGCAGTTCCCTGCTTTATTCTGGATCATGTGCTACTTTTAGGGCATTTGCTTGTAATTAGTGTTCCACATAACTAAGCCTGGAGCTCTGACTTTACAGAGTATGCTGATAGCTCATCCTTCTTCCAGGAAAAATAAATCTTGCCTGATGGGAGATCCTACATTAAAAAAAAAACAGCTTACAGTCACACTGCAGAGCCGAGCTGCTGCTTTGCACACATCAGGGCTGGCTGTACCAGTTCCAGAATTACTGTGCAATCTTGCCTCTGTCCCTGGGTGCTCCACAGCCCTGAGGCGTGCCCAGGAATGGGGAAGGGTGAGGTGAGCCAGGGCCAGCAGCAGCAACATCCCGCAGTGCCCTGGGAATTCCAGGATGGGCTCCCAAACACACGCTGAGCTGTTTGCCTGGGGCTGGATGTTGTGGTTGCAGTTTGTATATCAAATCGTCATTGACCCTTCCCTCCAGTGGCCTCCGGAAAAAGACAAGGCTTGGGTGAYTTCTGTCTTCCTTCTCTTTTCCATGACATAGCTATTGCACAGTTGGGAAGCTGTTTTTCATTTGTGTAGGCTGATTTTTGGCATACTGGGAGCTGTTGAGTCTTCAGACTTCCTGCAGCCTCTTCTTTCTGTTTTTCCTGAAGGGCCCTTACCTCATCCCAGGCTGTCCAGTGTCACAGTGTCCATRGAGGGGACAAGCACACTGAGAAGAAAGAAAATCTAAACCAAGCCATGAGTAGGAAAATACTTGGAATGGCATCTCCAAGCTCCTTTCTGACATGGCTGTGAGCAGGAGGACAGGAGGACAGGCTGTTGTGGGAAAGGACGTGTGACAGTGAGAAAGCAGAAGGTCACAACTGAGGCAGCCGGTGACACGTGTGTGCCCCCTCCTGCAGCGGGGTGACAGAGGGATCTGAGCTGTGATCCAGGGCCAGGGGAGCCAGGGGAGCCAGGGAAACAAGGGGAACCAGGGGAACCAGGGGAACATGGCATAGGGCACAGCTGGAGGGGCCAGTGCCCAGAGA